ATTGAAAAAGAATCGATAACAACGTTTTAACACTAACTTATTTTGGGAGTACTGTAAAATCTTGTAGTTTGTAAACACTAAACCATCTACATCGTTTGCGTTGCGTTATCATAGATGAATCTCCACCGGAAATGGTTATATCATCTATATTTATCAAATAATTGCTGCACACTACATAATATTACTAAGATTATTTTGTTTATTGTAGACCTACTACACGACTGTTGAGGCCAACTCGTCCACAGGGACAGTGTTGGTATCCTCGGATGGTGTCACTGTAGTATCCTCTCAGATAGAACCAGACATTCAGATTGTGGATGGTCTCAACTGCTTCAGTGAAGGTCGGCAACAATTAGTCCTAGTGTCATTCATCATATGATGCTTTTTTACCTNATCCTAGTGTCATTCATCATATGATGCTTTTTTTACCTGTTATGGAATCTAAAAAATCGTATTTATTAACACTTGTAATATAATAATAGCATATCATCCAGTATATAACCAGAATTAGAAACAAATGGTTTTCATTTTATATGTTGACTTTCTGATTTTCCTGAAAATAATACTGATTTTTTTATACTTTAGGTGAAAATCAGCGAACACTGAACACTAGCCAAGTACGTAATTTTTATATTATTATTTAAGGTAGTCTATCAATCTTATCTAGTAGAAATGGATATTTGAAAATATTTCCCAATAAAATGACTGACCTCTACCAAAGACAAGTACTACTCGTATACTGATTAGCAGCATTGAGCATTTTGCGGTTTTTTTTTCATCAAGGCTAATTCAGTACGGCAGTTACTTTATTTCTCTTGTATCACTGCATACTTACTTCACAAATAATGATATATTCCAGAATGCCTAAATATCATACACGTGTGCTCTCTGGTAAATATTGAATCGCGTGTAATCATTATAATGATCGGAGATCAACATAATATGTGATTGTAATCTGACTAAACACAGGAGTTTCGCTTCAGTAAGTTTCATTACAATATCCTCTTTTCTTGCTTCATTTTTTGTAGGATAACAGCCTCTGTGATTTGGAATACCAATCATC